TGGACATAGTAAGTGCTTAATACATACTGACAGAGAAACCGCAATACGAATTTCTGGAAAGGCACTGCAGTGGTATACGTGGGAAAGCTGCATTCTCCTTGTACCCAGGGAAGACAAGCTGGTAGCTGACAAGCAATCCCTGATAATGCGGCTCATTAGGATTCCATTCTGCAGTCACAGCTACATGGAAGTTTCTAAGTCTGTACTGACATCTTTTTGCTGCAAGGGGACTCTGGGAATTGCTGTTTTCTCCACAGCACTAGCAAGGAGGTAACTACTGTAAGGCCAACCACACTGGAATGCTTTCTAGTTCTCAATGAGAAGCAGTTACTCCTTAGTCATTAACTAACCACCATCAACTTCAAAATGTAGAAAGTTTGAGTTTGAATTTACCATAGAAACTGAGTAAGGGGCTCAAAACAGTGTGTGTTTGCGCAGGGGGGATTACTAGGCCTACTGCTTTCAGAGATGTAAGTTGGCATTTTCCAGAAATTTCTCCATGATTACCACTGAAGCAGAGCCTTTAGAATCTTATTCCTGGCTGTGTACACAAAGGGTCTCTGAATTACTTAGCATACCCTTCAGAATGTGTGACTTAAGTCTATGTTTTCTTCCTTATTCAAGAACAGTGTGGGTAGTCCTGGCCAGGTGGCTCCGTTGGCTGGAGCGTCGTCCTGTCTGTACACCAAAAGGCTGAGGGTTCGATCCCTGTCAAGGTCTCTCTCTCATCAATAAACATATCCTCAAGTGAGGATTTAAAAAAAAAGAACGTGGGCTGGTGGAGAATAAGCCCAGGGATGACTACTTCTATCTGGAAATGTACAAGGAACACTTTCTAGGTTCACGGAGTAGGTAATTTTTAATATTTTAAATAAATGTGGTCCCGATGAGTGAACTAAGTTCTCTACTGCTGAACAGATTTATGCTGATTCCCAGTGCTCTGAATCTGTAACCCACTCAATCTATCCAGCAATATTTAGCTGTTGCTTAATAACAGTGGTAAAACTAACCTTACAATGAAATTTGAACTAAAAACGCAACATCTAACTATGGCCATTTCTGCTCACACAGAGTCAGGCATCCAGATAAAAAGCTTTCAAAAGAACTCTGAGAGGTACCATCTTTTTCATGTGACCTGAGCACAGCTCAGAGCCCCAAGGCTCTCACAATGACATCTCCCCAAGAAACAGGGTTTACGTGCTAAAGAGCAAAACACATGACTCAGCTTAGAGAGAAAGCTTTTTAAATATTATGTAATACTTGAAAATGAAAATTTAAGAATTTTTCCCTGTGATAAAACTGTGATTAAATCTTATTTAACTGTTTCCTCTAATGACATCACTTTAATTAGGTTTTAATAGACTGGCAGCCACAACCTATAGTTTTGAAAAGCAAAGTAAAATTACAGTCTAGGAAAACATTTAAGGAAAGAGACCCATCAACACAGATGAGAGGTTATCCCCTCATCCCTAAAGACCCCCATGGCAATTATGTGCACTGAACAAACAGCCATTAGGGCTAACAGTAGGTGTGTTCTCCACCAATCGGCAATGGGTTGTTCTTTGAAATCCCTAATCTGTGATCTGCTTTCCAGAAAAGTTGCATGTTACAGAATAAGAAAAGCATTTGAAGAGGTGTGTGTTCTACAGCTCTACTAACTGTGTAGCCTCTATCAAATGTGCAGCCTCTACCACTGCACGGGGCTTTCTGTTTTAAGAGTTTAATACATACATTTTCTTATAGATGATCATGACACAACACTCATCTTAAGAAGATTGCCGTATGTTTAAGAAAATTATTGTCAAGTAGAGAAAGTAAAATTAATATATGAAAATCCGATTCACATACAAAAAAAACGTATCTGCAAATGAGATGCACTAAACAGGAGCTTAACAGTATGCATTTGTATTTATTTCATACTACATTATGGAAATCAGGGAGTAAATCACAAAAATTAACTCTGAAAAAATGAATATCATAGGCACTTATTTTAGAAAAGAAGAGCTGAGCATAATTAGTTCCTTTGTTAGCCACTGGATGGGGAAAGAAATTGGGCCTGTTGCTACCTCAAAATAAGTTTACATATATTTATCTGAAAGAGAGAAAAAGTTGAATGTTATTTTATAGAACTAATTGTGAATAAACAATACTTAAATTTTAATAAATCACATATACTCAGAATATTGTAAATCTTGGGGAGGGGGTATATCTGATCCTATGAAAAACTAAAATTTTGTAATCTGGCCAACAATCTGATGCCTCCAAACCCCTCTGCCAAGAAGCAGAGTTACTTAGCCAAGATACTCTTACTTGCACACTTTCATCAGCCTAAAGCTTTCATGCCAAGAAATCTTTTTTTTTCCTGGTGTATTGGCCACTGCCAGAAATGGACCCATCGAATCCACCGGTGCTAAGGAGTTAAGCATCTGAGATTTAATTTAACAGTTTCAGCTTTATTAAGCTGTCACAGAGCGGCCCCACTTTGATAACAGTAGCTGCTCCAATTATGGCTTGGTTTAGGGTTGACAAGTATAATGATTCATTCGTGGCACATGAGAAGCAATAAAAGGTTGTTTTGCATTACAGCTTTAAAAATGTGGGCACTTTTTTCATTTAATTTGTCACTTAGCTTTTGCTAAGAGGACATTTAAATTGCAGTAAAAGGCAAATGGGGCTTTTAGTTTAAATGTAATCCCCATATTTAAATGATCTGTAATGGCGCAGTGTTGGAGTGGGAACACTATTGTCTCACAGTGGGTCCTGATGGTGACATGTGACATTTGTATTCAGGTCCTGTATTATCCATGTGGCTAAAGGGCTTCCAATTTCATTTCACAGCCAGAAGCCTGCAGAAAACACCAATTAACTTGCAGATCCCATTTGCCGACAAAACTCAGCCTCTTCTCAATGTCTGGCATCTGGCAGTGCTCAGCATTTAATTCCAAAGCAGAGCCTTGAAGCAATGTGAGCCCAGTGCAGGGGCACAAAGTCAAATTCCCCCATTTTACTAAGAACCAAAATCCTTTCCTTTTGTAGTCCAGAAGCAACTTTTAGTTAATTTTTTGGTGAATGAATATTAATATGGGATAGCTATTGTTACTTCTAAGTGGGATTCTTCACAGAACTTAGACCCCATTAAGCCAGCAGGTGACCTCTGCTCACCATCAGAATATATAGGAGAATTTATAGCAGCCTAGTAATTATTTGGGGGAGGGGGTGTAAAAAAAGAAAACACAGGGCAAGAAGATGTATTCTTCATCCTGGACTGATATCAAACTTGAATAGAGCCTGGTCCATAATTAGAAAGTTATCAGAGGGTATAACTAGAATCAGCTGGTAGAAACTTCCACTTAATGAGAATTTATATCTTTGATTAAGGGTTGAGGTACATGATTTTCAAAACCAACTTGGAAAAGATGTGACTAATGAATTAAATGTGAACTATACAAATTTTGACTATATCACTTGTATTTCTTTTATAACCAAAAAATTTAGTTGATACTTTCTTAATTCGTTATTTGCAATTCTAAGCTTCTCTAAGTACCAAAGTTCTTTAAATTTTATTCATCTAATATTAATCCAATAATTTTTCCTTAATGCATTCCCTTCATTATATTTTTTTAAGTGCTAATTTTTTTTACTGTCATAAACCAACTACTCAAGTCAACATTTACTGTAACAAAACTGAGGACAGTTTACTTGGAAAAGTAAAACACTCAGTATTTTCAAAAAATAGGTGTTTAAACCATGTGTTATACCTATGTTTTTCAACCACCACAGGATACTCCCTCACATCTCCCTCCAATACACTGAAACTACCTACTGATGTTACAGATTAATTGGGGTTTGGAAAAGCCATCACCATTACTATTTCAGGTGACTCAAGGAAAATACCAAGATTAAATTGGCAGATATATACATACAACAAGGGTTGTCATCCACAGCCAAGTTCCTGACCACACATCTTATTAATGGGAAAAAGAAAACTTGGATGTCAAATTCTTTACTAACTTGCTGCATAACCCTAAGTCATACAATGTCATCTTGTGGAAGTCTCTTAACCTCCTCAGACTTTAGTTTCATTATCTATAAAAAAGTTCATCTCAAAGGTCCCTTCCAATTATTATGACCATGTGGTATCTTCACAAGCAAGCTTCACTTGGTCTAGAACAGACATGGGATCAACCAGCATGATGTGTTCCATCATTAGTCAAGAGAAGGACAGACAATGAATGTGTATAAAGAGTTCTATTACTCAATTGCATTGAGACTAGGATCTTCTAGTAAATATACTCAGAACATAAAATTAATACAAGCACTGATAAAGTATTTGTTAAAAATTCCATTTGTCACATAGATTTCTTAATAGAAAGACAAAATAACAAGTACATTATTAATTCTTTAGCAATGAGCATTAGGTAATAAGAGTCATCCCCTCAAATTTTCCAGTGAAAATGACTAGTCAATTTCTCATTGTTTCCAACCACCTGCTATATCAGTATTGTTACCACCAAGGATTTGAAAAGCAATAAAAATTAAGAGTTTGCTGTATATTTCATTCTTATGATCAACAGTTCATTTAAATCTGTAATAGTCAAAATATAAAATGAATGTTGAAACTACTTTTGATACTTTTAATGTAGGCAAAAGGGAAAAACAGCCAAATTTTAGCTGAATTGTTCACAGTATTACTCTAGAAACAAGTAACCAGCTCTTTTATACAAAATACTTATTTAAAAATAATACAGCTTTTTTCAAATATTTAAGGGCCGAATCCTGTGCTCTCTTTCCTTAAGATCAGACAATTCCCTCCAAACCCTGCCAAGACTGTTTCCTGCAAAGTCCTTATTCTTCCTATTCTTATAACCAGTATATAAGGGCAACAAGTTCATATATGAGCAGCTCTCTCTTCAGCAATACTCTGATCATGCTCTTTAAACATTCAACACGGTCTTCATCCATATAACTCAATGGCAATCTGTCAGGAAACTTATATTTACCCAGCTCATCCCAGAGCTGCCTATATTTGTCAGTCATCGCAGTGCCTTGTTGCCTCCAAAGTGACAGACGAGGGTCAGCCATGAATTGCTCTGTTATCAAGGTCAACATGCGGGCCCCATTAGAGTCCCTCATCTTCAACATCTCCCGAACCTAGTGGGGAAAAAACAGACTTTTAGAAAAATGTTCAAAAACAGACAGCAATACAGAGACCAATTTTCTTGGGAGGGGGGCAGTTAAATCTCGACACCAGTTCTCTTAAGCAAACAAAAATTGTTAAAACTAGTTTCTACCCTAAATGGTAACTGAATCAAAGAACTGACCCTTAGTTTTTTTATATTGTTTTAGAATCCACACGAGGAAAGAAATTTTGCTAACCTCCCAATTCAAAAAATTGCCAGCCTATAGAAAAACAGTACCAAAACCAATAAGACAAATCATTTGGCCCCTTCCTGACTCTCCAACTGACTGTACTTCCCACAGAATGAGCGGAGCCTAAAAAGCAGTCTACTGAGAACTCTTTAGGGATCTTCTAAATTGATCCGATGATGTTTATAACAGCATCTGTCCTTCAGTTTTTAAAAAACAGCCTTATTGAGGCAAAATTCACATGCCATATTTCACCAATTTAAACTGTGCAGTTCAATGGCTTTTAGTATACTGAGAAAGTTGTGAAACACTTGTTTTTAACGTAAATTAATAATTTCAGTCAGTTCTCGCTCAAGTTTTCTGACATAAAGAGCAGCAGCATATTCACTCTGATGAACTGTTTTTGCAATGGTAAAAGGAAATGAACAGGGCTGTAGGTTCATGAGCTCTTTTTGGCTCTAAATGAGCAATCCACGAAGCAGAATCATGAGCAGTGACCTAGGAAGTTAACTCAGCCTCTCATGCTGGAACCTCAAGCTCTGTCCATTACTCTTGTGCTACATTTCCCAAATAAGAGAAAAGAAGAAAAGAAAAGCAAGGCTAACAGGAAACCCTAAATGAATCCATCCATTCCAGAAGTGCATAGCTATGTGTCCAACAAATAAGAATCCCAGCTGAACATCAGTTCTCCCTATAGGAAATTACTGGAGCAAGGTTATGAGCAGTGGAAAAGGAGAGGTGCGTCCTTTAATTCAAGATTCTCTCATTGTGAAAGGTGAATGAAGGACGAAATGGCAGGTCTTCAACAAAGCATCTCAGACCTCCAGACCAACAGACCCTGCCTCAGGCTTGTACCCTGACAAGTGCTGGAGCCCCCTCATAGGCCTTAGAATTTGAGCCTTGTGAAGAACTCAAAAGCACTTCTATAGGAAATCATAAGGATTGTGCTTCCAGGAAGGCTATTTCAGTAATCTTAAAAAGGAATTTATTACCAATATGAAGCACTAAAAAGTCGTGAAAAGATGAAGACTGAGAGAGAGAGAGACTTGCCATTTATTATCATACGTCGTTGCTTAAGAGTTTTGCATTTATACTTAGCATTTAAGCTTGATAACAACCACATAAAGTAGGCCAGATTATAACCTCCATTTTATGAATTATAAAATCATGCCTCAGAAGTTAATTAACTTGCCCAAAGGACAAGAGTAGTAAGGGATAAAAGGGGTCAAATATATGGTCGCAAAAGGAGATTTGAAGGAATCAGAACCCAGATCTGTCTTAACTCGACTTAACACTAAAAGTTACGCCATTCCCAAAATTAGAAGTTGATGTTACTTCATAGGGCATATATAATATATACATCATGCAGAGATAAAAATGGCAAATGCAGGTCACTCTAACACCTTTCACATTACTTCTACTAGGCCAGTGTACTCTGCTGACACGAGACTGAAATACTATGTGTCTAAATATGCCAAACCTTTAATAGATAACAATATATCAAATTTGATTTAATGTTTACTTTCCTGATAAATTTCTAACCTATTACTGAGCTAGAAATAGCAATGAAAATAAGTACTATCAAGTATATAAACCAGAACTATTACCCAACACTCAAGTACGACATCTACAGTCTAACAGTATTTAACTTTCATACTGTTGACACTCAGGCATTACAGCAGTTTGAAGGGCCTATGAGTTACTAAAAGAATAATTAAATCATGTGTAAAGTAGTTTTAGAGTTAAATGTGTTTTATTGTAAATCTAATTATCAGAAAATTGGCAATCTATATATGGTATACGGAATAAATCTTTATTAAGAGAGTATGATGAATCAGAATACACTATTTTTTGGCCATAACCAGTAACAGAGTTTACTCTAATTCTTCTGAACTAAAAAAACACCTTTTAATTATTATGAATACTAGGTCATTTAACAAAATTATCAATGAACACAGTTAATCTAATATATTAAAACCAACCTGAATATATTACCCACAATGATGGCTGTAGCCCCAATGAAAAGACAATGATTTAATATGATTATAAAAGCATTTTATCCAGTATTTAGATTTATGTTTATGGTACTAAAACTCTGTATAAAGCAATAGATACAGTTTTTGTTCACATAGAACTTATAACAAAGATAACTTTGTTTCTTAGGTCATCAAATTTTGGTGATGAAAACTAATATTTACCAAGGCCCAAATACATGTTAGAACCATTATAATTTAACACCATGATCACAACTTGAGGCGATATGCCATTATTAGCTAATTTTATAGATGAGGAAACTGGTTTAAAGAGCTTTCCAAGGTTCATACGCTTAATAAGATTTAGAATTTAGATTTAAACCCAGGTCTGTATGACTGCAAAGTCTATGCTTTTAAAACAAATTTAAAGATACTGACATTATTAAACTAAAAACATAAAGCACCTTTTAAGGGCTGTATTCAAGTTACTGGGGAAATTAGAAAATGAAAAAACTTGAATAGATGGCATTTTAAATAACATTAAGTTATTTATTTTGGCGTAAGTATGGGAAGGTTTTTCAAAATTGTATAAATTGTCACCATTTATTAATAGAAACTGAGAGAGAGAGAAAAAGGTTCCATGTCTTGTCTAAGGACACCTAAGCAAATTAATACTTGCATTACAACACAGAAGTTTCTAATTGATTAACTTAGACTGTATTCTTTAAAAAATAATTAATTAAAAAGAGAAGTCTTCGCACTATTGTAAACATGATCATATAAAGATACTTTCTATATACGTATATATTTAGAATATTTCTTTAAAAATAAACAATCATACCTTTGCAAAGAGCAAATTAAGCTGCTTCCCTGATCCATGGTACCCGCCCTGGGAAAGAAACAGTTTAACCTGTTCTTGAACCTGCTCTTCATCTAAGTGCCAGCAGTTTTCATCATCTATACTAGCACCTGCTGTCGGATCAGGAGCACCTAGAAATAAAAAGAAAAGATAACACATATGCTAGATAAAAACTGTGCTAAAAGGGCTCTGATAATAAGCTTAAAAAGAATTAAGATTATGTACTTTTTGCCTAAACACTTTTTAATTCAATCTCAATTCAATTATACATACAAATTTATAACTTAAAATAAATACAAGAGTCATTCTTGTATTTCTAAGATTTTCCTAATTTGTTCTAAGTCCAAATGCGGATTACCTGAGAACTGAAATTTCCCATTTTTTAAGATCAGAGACTCTATCTTTGGAGATGAGTTTACAAGTTCTTTAAAGAACAAAAGTCACAGAAGTGTCTCATTGTAAATATGTGATGTTTATAAAGCTCTACTATGTAGGACATGTTAAGAAAATGTTTCTCAAAGACTTTAGAAAAATATGAAACCAAGTACATTCAGCAGAGTATTTCTCCCTGCACCATGTTAGTTCAAGAAGCCTTCACCATTATCTGCTGCTGTATAAACTACATGCTGACAAAAGTGAAGATTAAAAAGGGAATCAGGCCACATGGGAACAGGCAGTACAGCTGCTGTACTAAACCAGGTTGTAGTATCACCTTGCCAAACTGCATAAATATTTTATTGCTGAAGTACACACAAAAGACAACAGCTATGTAATAAGCCCTATGTGTAGACTACCTTAGAAATTAAAAATCACCCACATATGTAGGCAGGTAAAAATTATGTTTCACTATTTATTAATGAAATAAAATGGTATTCAAGGCCTAAGACTCGTAAGTAATACAAAATAACTTAAATCTAAAAACCTTTCATCGGTAATGGTTCATACCTTAAAAAGATACATTTGTAGGTATTGCTTCATATTACTTTCCTTTTCTTTTAATGATCTAATGCAGACTCAATTGGCCAAGGAAATAATCACGAACATCCACTTAGAATCAGGGTCCATTAGTCCCAAGGAGTGAGACAGTGGGTCTGTGAACCTCCCTGAAAAGGGGGGCTTTCATTTACTCAGTAAGCCAGCATATACTGAGTGCCCTCTGCTAGATTTGGGGATGGAATGAATAGTTTACAAAATATACAGAATTCCTATCCTCACAGAATTTATCATCTAGTTAAATGGCTTTCAAACTTCTTTTGACTAAGACCCATAATAAATACAATTTACATCATGCCCAATACACCTATGTATCTGGGTGCTTATGTGATCACATCTGTCTATTAATCTGAAGCACAGTATGATGAAAAAATATCCTTACTATACGTAAAGAGGTCTGATGTTTTCTATTCTAGTTCCTTTTTTTAAGGGTTTGTCATAATTTTTAAAACTGATTTCATAACCCATAATGGGTTGCACCCCACTATATAAGAAACACTTTATAGTGGATGAGATAAATATCAACCTAATAATCACATATAGTATATAACAATAGGTGGCAATAACTGCCCAAAGGAGAGGTCAAGGTGCCAGGGGAGGCTATATCAGAGAGCGCTGGCCTGGCCTTGGAATGCCAGGGTAGGCAAACCTTGAGGAAATGGAATTTGAGCTGAGATTTGCCTTAAGTAGATTAAAAATTAACCAAAGGCAGGAAAAGGAAGGAATGGGTCTGCATGTGAGACTAAGAGCTTGCACAAAGGTCTCCGGTGGGAAGGGGCGTGGTATGTGGATGAAATAAAAGGCAGTTCGTGTCCATGCACAAACAAAGTACATGAGGAGAAAGGCAACACAAGCCAACCCTGGAGAAGAGAAGGGCAGGCCCTGCGCATGCTGGCCAGGGAGCTTGGTTTTCCCCCTGAGGATGATGAATGGGGATCATGATAAGGTATCCAAACTGGAAGAACAGAATCCTCTAGACAGTGAACAATGTTTTGTCTTGATGTACAACAATTTCAACATTCCTACCATGAAATATTAAGCAGCCGTAAAAATAAATGTGAAGATTCTCTATGTACCACAACGGAAAGTACCCAGGATATGTTGATCCCCACTCCCACCCCCAAAAACCGAGGTGAAGGAAAGTATACATAGTGTGCCACTTTTTCCATAAATAATGTTTTAAAAAGAGCTTATGCGTTAGTATTTCTTTACATATGCACAAAATATTTTGAAAGAATGAGGGAAGTAGGCTCCTCACTGAGTACCTTTTCATACTTTTAAAATTCTGGAACTACATGAATGTATTTATGTATCTAAAAAATCTCTCTCTAAAGTGTGGATGATGGATTGGGGAGCAAAAATATATGGGAACAGTGAGGATGGCATTTTGATGGTCTGTACAAAGGATGAAGTAGGAGCTTGGAAAACAGCAGTGAGAACAGAAATGGAGAACCTGAAAGGAAGGTAGGACATAATCAACAGGACAGGACTTGAAGAAGTGGGTATGTGAGGCGTGGGAGATAAAGGGTTGAGAGACACACAGGTTTCTAGATTAAAGATATTGGAAACTCACTGACACACAGACCATCAGAGCAGGACCAGGTTTGGGGGTGCGAGGAGCAGTGTTTAGGTCATGAGTTCAGATTTATTAGATGTGGTGCATGTGAAGTACATCTGAGACAGCTAAGAGAAAGGACAGGATATCAAGCAGGGAGCTGAATATACTGTGGTAGGCAGTGTGGGGTAAAAAGAGCATCTAAGACGGAGCCCTAAGGAAGGCCAACATTTAAAGGCTGGGGAATACAATGAGCAAGGACGGCAATGAGAATGCCTGGCCTATTAAAAAGAGCACGAGGGACCAGCTCTTTTGGAAGTAAGGCAGAGAAAGCTGTTCCAAGTAGGGCCTAGACAACTAGGTAGATATTTAAGCTCCCAGAGTGCAAGGATTTTATCTGCCCTGCTCACCACTGCTTCCTAAAACCCAGCCAGTGCTTGTCACTGTCAGGCAGTCAAGTATTGGGAGGAAGCAGGGAAAGAGGGAGGGAGAAAGGGATGCATACATCCCCCACCCTCAAAAATGATTCCTATCAAAAAGGAACCACTGCTAAAGCGTCCTCACACACATTATCTCATTAACTCATTTTCTCCTCTCAGTGAGGAGTGGAGATCATGATCCCATTCTACAGAGGAGAAATGGGTTGAGTTGGGTTATGACTTATCCACAGCCACACTGCCAAATCCAGTCTCCTCATTATCTCCCCTGAAGAAGAATATATCCCAGAACCTTAGAGCTAAAGTTTGAATCCTGGAGGCATCAAGGCAAGCGTTATGAACCCTAAATCAAAGATAGATTTAAGGAACAACACTGGTATGTATATAGGTATTTGTTGGCACAGTTCTCTTGTACAGGAAGATTTAAGGATGCAACAATGATGTAAAGAGTTTACTGGGGGCTACATCTGTATCCCACAGGGATTCAGAATCCCTAATCCAGCCAATTGCCTTGATCCTAGGAAAAGACAGACACAGACACGCAGAGAGACAGAAAGACACATGGACACATGCACGCATCAGAAGAGGCTTCACAAATAACTGCAGGGTCCCAACTTTTGTAGTTCTTCCCATGATCTTTCTAAAATTCTCCTGGGAAATCTGACATGTCCCTCCCTATCCTCTTCTTAGGGAACACTGACAAGGTACTGATTGTGCATTCCTCACTGTACCCTCTGATTCTATCCTCAGAGTGGTTATTTCCCCTAATTTTTATTAAAGTTGTTTTCTGTTGGGTACTGAAGGCTAAGACCTACAAGGAGTCCTGCCCCAGAAGGACACAGATAAGGGGCTGACAGTCCTGTGGTGTAACAGAGGCAGTCAGAGCTCTGTGAGGCTTGGAATTTGTCTGTCACATAAATATCCAGATATTTTAAGTAGATTTGAATTTCGTTTGGAGAAAATTCTGGGCTTCTCCTTGGCCTGAATTGGCAAAGGGGTCAACATTCAGATACTCTCCAAAACTTCACGATATACTCAATTCTTGTATTTTTTATACTAAGAAAGAAGTGCTAGGAAGAATAATCAGGAATCATTTTTATTTGACTTGAATTATACAATGAATTTTCCCTTACAATCTAATAGGTTTTAAACACTATCATATTTTAAAAATATGAGACTTAAAATGCCTTTCATGAATCATTTAATTTACATGCATATTTTTATTCTTGTCCAGCTTGAAAGATATCTAATAGCAAATGTCTAAATACATGAATTATGTTTCTCAAGGTTTTTTTTTAAAGTATGTTCTTATTGATTTTAGAGAGAGAAGGAGAGGGAGAGGGAGAGAGAGAAACATTGATCGGCTGCCTCCTGCATGTCCCCTGCTGAAGAATACAGCACAAAACCCAGGCATATGCCCTGGCCAGGAATCAACTCAAGACTTCTTGGTGCATAGGACTGACAACCAACCAACCGAGCCACACCAGCCAGGGCAATGTTTCTCAAGTTTTTAAGAAAATCAAGTTGTGTTTTTTATT